ACACTTATTATCTGTGATGAGTGTTGTTTGCCTTTTCCACTGCTGTAAAACGCTCGGCAGTCGCACAATTCGCCCGATTCGCTGCGTTGAAAAATATTAAATTGTAAATAAATACTATAAAAAAGCAAAAGCAAAAACAAAAGCAAAAGCAAAAACAAAAGCCAAACAAGAATTATGTTCGTGTGTCGCCGTCGCAGCTGCGATTGTTGTGTGTGCGTGTGTGTGTGTGTGTGCGTGTGTGTGTGGCTTGTTGTTGCTTTTTTTAATAATATTTTTTCTGCCTAGTACTCAAGCGCACCTCAAACGCTGCGGTCGGCGTTTGGCAGTCGGAAATGTCGCTTGACGTCGCACTCACATTTTGTTTTTGTATTTGTATTTGTTTTTGGTTTTCTTTCTTTTTTTTTAAGAATCGCGCGCACCTTTTGCCTTTTAGACCCGTACTAAATGAGCGCGGGTTTTAGTACTAAATCGAACTGTGCGAAAGTTGGCAACGAAATTTGCCAAAACGAAACGCTTTCCGCCAAATTGTTTGCCATTTGTGTATATATATCTAAATATTGATGTGCGTGTGTGTGTTATGTGTTAATAGAACGCTTATCGCAGCTCACAATTGTTATGGTTAATATATACATATATAAAACGACATTTAACTCTGCTCTGACATGAGCTAAGTATGAACTCAGAGTGCCTTGGTGTTAAAATTTTTGAGATTTTAGCGCATCGCTTAAGGATTACACACAAAACGAACAATCCGATTCTTAACGAACACAGGTGAGAAAGTTTCGATCAGAGGGCATGCTGCTTGCCGAAAGATATCTTTTATATATACAGAATATATATAGACACCAGATAAAAAAGAAATCTGTGTAATAATTTGAAACGTTGTGCGATGAGATAACTTTATATATTTTGACACTGTAATAAAGTTTACCAAATGAAGTCTGAACAAATGTCAACAATTTAAACCTGAATATGCTAAAGCCGGGTTTATATCTATACTATATCAAAATGATGTCAAAAGTGTACTAAATAAAATGTATACTAATAAAATGCATTTGGCTTTATTTCATTATTGCACGATTCACATATTAAATTTGCTCACAAAGTAAATGCATTGTGTTAAGTTGCAAAAAATAAACAGAGAAAATGAAAACATTAAAAATACATATGTAGCTCTGCTTAATAACTGTTTACTTTGCATTTGGTGTAAAAGTGCAGTAAATGCGAAAATCTCTTTAATATGCTAATGCCAGCAAAGACATTTATTCACATTTGCACACTTATTTATTTCCCACTTTGGTCATACTCATAACGATATAATAACATAAAGTCCCGCGACACTTGGCCAACAAGACAAGTGAGTCATGTTAACAGCGAGCACTGAGACACGCCCCAAAAAACAAACGTGTTCAGCTTGCCAGAGACACAGAGAAACAGAGAGATCCCCTTTATCCAATAATTCATTTGAGCATTATTGTTTATGAAAGGCCAACAAGAAATTGTACAACATTTATATGAACCAAAATAAACAGAGATTCATGCCCTGAAGGAAGCTAAAGAAAAAAAACTGAGAATGCACCAGTCGAGTGAGCACGACTAGCAGATACCTTGCACTTAAGTTTATATCTATAACATTCCATTTTTTATTTGTATTTTATATTTGTTTCGTATAAATCTCAAAATTCGATTAACTCATGTTGATAACATTTTTACATACAATTAATATTATGACAAGGAAAGTTATTTTATCAATTGAAAATATATATTTTTAAAGCTCTGATTTTTATTTGCAAACAGCGAAAGTTATCAATGACTCGGCTAATGCTGATTAAGAATATATATATATACTGCTATATACACTTGCACAACTTTGTTATACCCCTTTTCGCCATTTTAAATTTTGAATGGGTTCAGGTTATAAAAAAAACAATGCGTAGCCGGCATAAAGAGAAAATGTTAAACAACTTAAAAGCGCACATTTTCCTAGAGGCCATAGAGGGGGGAGTTGATAGAGAGACAGAGAGAGAGAGAGAGAGAGAGAGAGAGAGAGAGAGAGAGAGAGAGAGAAAGAGATAAAGAGGGGGCAATTGAACTTTTGCAATTAAAAGCTGCTGGCAGGCAACTGGCAGACGGATCGTGATCTCCGCTAGAAGCCAGATGGCTACCAAGAATTTTTGTTAAAATTTTTAAGATTTCCGCAATTCCTGACCAAATCAACGTTCATATGTACATCTTTCTATATATATATTTATATATATGATGTCTGTATGCATAACAAGATAACAAAAACACTCAAACACACCGTCTAATTAAATAATTTATGCTTTTCTGTGAACTTTTCTTGTGCCCTTCCCGAGCCTCAAGAGCTGAAAATGTTTTTTTTTTTTTGTTGCTTAGGCTTTTTTTTAGGCATTTTATTTTTAGAAGCGAACGTAATGTGACGCATTTCGTTTAATTTGGCATGTGAACTTATTTATTTATTTATATATATAAATATATATATATATAAATATATATATATATATATATTTGTTTTTTGGGTGCTTTGTTGTTTATTTCGAGTGAATGACTTTTGTGTGCGCCTTTTTTTTAGTACATGTGACAATCTTTCAATTGGACAATTGCATTATCGCCTGGTACACATTATAGATATACATATACATGTATATGTATGTAAATATATTTATGTTTGTATATATCATACACCTTCCTCATGTATCTCTGGGCTTTTTTTTTTGCACTGTCCAAGGTCCAACGCAGTTGAGCTTAGTGGGCCAGAATTTGATGGATGCATGCGGGCAAAGCCATAAGTAAATAACTTCCGATTTATAATTATTATATAGGGTGTCTGCTTTGGCCAGTATTATTCCACACACTTCTCTATCTTATCTTTAGCAAAAAAGAGAACAACACTATCGTTTAAACAAAAACCTCTATCGTTTGTACTAAAAAAAAAAAACTACAAAAAATGACATTAAATATATTGTCTGGTTTCAGCGATAAGCTGCATAGGACGCCAGAGATACAAGATTGATGTCATGCTCTTGATTTCTAATACCATACATGTGTCTTGTTTTAAACAATATTCTCCTCTTGTTGTTGTTGTTGTTGTTGTTGTGGCTGCTGTTGTTGGACAGCTGTCAAAGTGTTCACGTTGTACTCCCAAAACATTTTGAATGTTGAGGTTGATTAATTGGGAAAGATTTGTTGCAAATGCATGACAGTTATGACAGCTCTTTCATATTTCATGTGGCAACGCAAAGAAAGTCGCATTGAAACAATAACCTGATGAAATACCATAAAATAATGTGTTCTAAAAAGCGAGAACATGCCAAATAATCATTCAGCTGTTCAGCTAAAATCATTTATAGGCGTACTAAAAATGTACTAAATGGTTTTATATCGGCTTGATATTTGTTGTTGACTTGTTCAGTCCTGCTATAATCATTTAGAACTGTACTAAAAACATATATATATATATTCATTATGATTTCAAATGTGATGAAACCATTTGACACTTGTGCCACGAGCTGTCAAATATAATATTTGTAATCAATTATCAAATATCCAGTAATTAATACAAATACTTCTGGCCAACTCCTATTACCTTGACAGATCGCATTTAATTGCGAACATGTATATATATATATATATATTTATATATGAATTGATTTTTTGCGCCAAACATGTGCTTTGTGTATTTCCATGCGTAGCATGTTTATTGTGCAATATGTATTTCCAATCGATTTATAAATAACTTGAGTTTACATAGCACGAATTGCGAAACTGTAAACAACTGGTCCACAGACCCACAATGACGCTAGAGCAAAAAAATATGCCCAGCCAATACTATAATACAATTTACTATATATATATATATTACTTAAATCCGAGCTGCTCCCTCTCAACCCTTTTGACATTGAAAATTGCGGGCGCAGAATTGGGTTATCGCCTGTTTCTTTAAACTGTAAATTATACTATATTTTAATGGGAATATGTGCTGCCAATGCCAATCATGTGTGTGTGTGTGTGTGTGTGTGTAATGCAACTGAAAACAAAGCAAACAACTCAATTGCTGATCGCCCACGGGCACCGATTTTGAATTATTATATTTATACATTTGCCATGTGCAAAGCATGCACAAATACATCTATTGGCATTCAGCTGAATCAGTTCAATGCGCCCCCAACTCAATAGTCACAAAGTCATTTTTATTTTACTATCAAAAAAAAAAAAAATGAATAAAATATGAAATTGATTTCTAGTTCAATTCATTTTCGCTTTGTAATTGTATTAGCCATATTAAAGCTATATTGACTATAATTTAATACAACTCTAGCTGGCTGCTAAAAAAGTGTTAACATATATAATATATAAATATGAGCTTTAATTTGTTTTTCTATTTGAGATTACCTCATAGATTATACTAATTAAATATTAATTTCAAAAACAACTTGCTTTTCTTATATCTTATATATAAAAAAATATATAATATATAAAGATGAACATTAAATTTTGTTTTCTATTTGAGATTACCTCAAAGATTATACTAATTAAATCTTAACTAAAAAATCCACTTATTATAGTATTATTTTTATATCTAATGAAGACTTGATTTCAGCACAATCTTCAATCACATTGCATTTATCCGATTGTATAAGTTGGTTGTTGAAAATGTACTGAAATGTTAAACATTCACTTTTGAAGTCATTCAACAATAGCTCAATAAACGAGAGTAGCTTCTGTATTTCTTTCATATTAGCACTTGACTTGTGAAGTATTCTAATTAAATAGGTGCATTTTAATAAACATCTGCTTAGTTGTGCTGAGAGTTTGTTTGTCAAATAATTTGCAGTGCATTTGCAGTTGTAAGGTAGCAATTAAAAAACACTCCCTGCCCCTTTAATATAGACTTATATGACTTCATTCTTATCAATATGTACTAATTTTCCATTGCCAATGGTTTTGTTTTTTTTCTTCTTCTTTTGTATTGTTTACAGATATCATTTTCGCTTATCGAAAATACAACAAAAGTCTGTACCGAATGCTGCCGCCGAATTGCACAAAGAGTCAAAAGTGTTGCGATACGGCGACTGGAACTAAATGGTGCTAAATGCCCCGGTTGCATTCAATGAGGAGAACCTGAAGAATCAGAAACGAACCGATGTGATACTTGGAGACTAAGCATTACAACAACGATATAAATACATTAGTATTTAGTATTTAGCTGTAGATAAAAGCTATTGGCAGCGAAACTGCAAACAAGACGAAACCACACAAAAGACTAAACAAAAATAGGCTAAAAGGCTTGCCAAATTCAATATGGAACACTTGGATCTGGCGGGTTATCTAAACACACCAGTTACTTGGAATTTGGGGGCATTTGAACAGCAAGGTGAGTCCAAAAGTAATTAAGAGTTTTATCGATAAGAGACTGCTTAAGTTATTATAAATAATTAACAGGGGATAGTGCCATAATATAGTCAAGAGCAACTGGCCAATATCAAAAATGTGTAGCAATAATAACCAATGTTTTGCGTCATTATCTATTGAAAAGATTATTTCATGCTGGAATTTAATCAGCAAAGTCAATTTAAATTATATGATTGAGATTATGCGTAAGCAAAGCCAACTTCTGCTAAGGCTACATTTAATTATTGATTCCCAAAATCAACCGATTCCTCCTAAGAGACTTCTACAATAAATGTTGATCATTTTGGCCATTATTAATACTATTTATCTATGAATGAGTTTTGTACAAATATCTTTAAAAAATAAATAAGTAATTCATACAAGAAAACATCTTTTAATCAATTGATTCTAGAACATTATTTGGAGTATGTTGTAGAAGTCCGATAAGAATAAATATACTTTAAGGAGTCAAATTCGTCTCCTTCAATGCACTTGTATTATTGTTTATTGATCACTTTCAAGCTGTATTCAATAAATAAATAATACAATTTAGCTTGGGAAAGTTGTCATCCTGATATGATAACAAAGCAGCTTAGTTATTCTGTGAATATTTGTAGTATTCCAAAACAAAATCCAGCTAAGTAAAACAGAAGTGTTATTTAACCCTCGAGTGCCCAAGATTGTCCTCAGTTTATCTTGGTGCTTCCTCGCTTCAAAATGTATTTTTATTATAATTATTTTGAAAAATGCCAATTTCAAATGAATACAAAACATATCGAAATTGATCGCATTTGAATGAAATCCAATATTCAAATAAAACTTTAAGATAAGCAATTAACGAAATCATAAACTGAGATCAACTAAAAGATTAGCACTGAAGGGTTACTTGGATGACTTGGCGAATCCGAAGACTGCATTTCTGATTAATTTGCCAATAAATTAAAGACTCAACTTGAATAATTAAAGCGGTTTATAAAACAGTTTTCACTTATTAAGGATGTTGTGTAAGATTGAGAAAATGCTTGCAAGGGTATACAATTTTCTCGTCGATTCAGCTCTGAAATGTGTGTAGGTCTGACTTCGCAGATGGTCAGTTTGGTCACACACACACACACTCACACACACACACTCACACACACACACACACTCACACACACACACACAGATTTTGTTGTTGTTTGCGGGCACTTTATTAATAAATTGCATAATTAAGCCGCATGAATCATGCACGCCCTGGCAGCGATCCCGATAAGATTGCAGAAGCAGTTGCAGTTGCAGTTGCAGTTGCACATTTCAGTTGTTGTGAATGAAGACAACTGTGGGGCAGGCTGACTGTCGCGCTGCGCTTCAGTTTTGCTGCAGGCACAGCTGGAGACGGTGCTGCAAAAGATGCGCAAGTGGCAAACGCGGCTGCAAAGTGCGCCCCTTAAAAATAATCTACTCTAATGGAATTAAAAATAAATAACTAAACTTCTCTCTCTCTCTCTCTCTCTCTCTCCCGCTGTCTCTCTCTTTCTCTCAGATGGCATTTACTTGTCCAGCTCGCGTCAAATGCTGGAGCCCATCATGGAGGAGACCTCCGAGGATGAGGAGCATGCGCAGAACAGTTGGAATGGCCACGAGCAGCGTGGCAGCTGTGGCGGCTTTTGGAGCTCCGCGGAGTCCGAAACGGGTTCGGTCATCAGAGTCGAAATTAACAAGGGTAAGTCTCAAATACGAGTACAGTGATCGCTCGCAAATAGCAACGCCAACAGATTACAGCTGTCTACTTGCACTTGATGTCATCTACAACTTCAGGGGTATTTCTTCAAGGGGTATTTTTATAATAAACTTTTAAGAAATACAAAGTTCTGTTTATCAAGATTCTCAAATCTGAAAATAGGTTTTATGATGTTTTTCTATGTTCTTAGCTAAAATCGTTTGGATTATAATTAAATTAGAAATTAGAAATCATTTCCAAGAAATTAAGACACCAAAGTTTGCGGGAAACCATCAAAAATGGATATCATCAACTATTTAATTTAGTGTATAGAATTTTCCATGAAAATCCTCTCAAATTCTATAATTTTCCATGAATATATTCCTGAAAATGATGACTTTAGTTTTATATTTTCCCAATAATGGAAATAATCAAGTATTCAATTCAATTCAAGCAGAATAATCAAATTATTGCACAAATTAAAAAGTTCCTTTATTTGTTGATGCGTACACATTTGCGAGAGATCACTGTACTTGGTTAAACACCAAAAGAAATAACTTTATTGACTGACTGATTACTGTTTGCAGATATCGACGCCATATCCGAACGTGACTTTGCCTGTCCGCCGAAACGAGCGCGTCGCTCCCAGGAGGAGCAACTGCAGCAGCAGCAGCAGCAGCCGCACAGTCTGGAGGATGTGGTGCAGCTGCGTCGTCCGCCGCCGCCACGCTACGATGCCGAGGCACACAACAGTCTGGAACGCTTCCTGGCGCTGGAGGCGTGCTCCCGCGACAGCTACGGCAGCCAGGGACAGCGCAACAGCACTGGCAGTCGTCGCGGAGGTGGAGGGTTCGAGGATTTCTACTCGGACAACGATTCGTATCATTCGCTGTCGCGCAGCTCGTCGCTGGTGCAGTTCGAGTCGCTGGAACGACAGTTGACGCTGCAGGAGCAGCACCAGAGCATGAGCAGTCTGGGCAACAGTTCACCATCGCTGCTCAGCTGTGAAACGGTGGCCGGCAGCAGCAGCTCCAATGTCAGCAGTGGCACACACAGCAACCCGGACAGCCGGCGAGGATCGGCCACATCGCTGCTGAAGCGCTACGAGTCGAGCGACGGACGTTTGCATCAAACGTACTACGAGCTGCACAAACTGGACTTTGAGGAGCAGCAGCGGGAACTGTTTGGCGCCTGCAAGAGTCTCGTGCATCAGGCCGAAATCAAATCCGACTCGGAGTCGAGCAGCACATCGTCAACATCCAGCGGCAGCAGCAGCAGCAGCAGCAGCGACAGCAGCGGCCACAGTTTACTCAGCGCCTGTCCGGGCAAACAAGATGCTGGCGGTGGCCGACGCCTGCCCCTCAATTCGGCGGAGAATTTGTCTGAGGATTCGGGGTATTGTGAGCCGAGCACATTGCGACGCACCAAATCGAAAAGCATACCAAAGAATTTCGATAAACTCTGCGAGGAGGAGGAGGAACTGGAGCTGGAGCTGGAGATGGAAATGGAGATGGAGGAGGCCGACGCACTAAACTCTAATGATTTGTGTCAGACGAAAATAGTGCAGCAGACAAACGTGGACGAGACGCAATCAACTGCCTCCGTCTCCGTCTCTGCCTCCGCCTCCGCCTCCGCCTCAGCATCAGCATCAACATCAGCGTCGTCAGCATCATCGCTGCTGCTTGCCTCTCCGACATCGTCTATAAATAGCTGCGAGAGCGGCGCAGCATCGCCGAGCGATTCGGCGACGTCAGCATCGTCGGTTGCCTCTTTCACTTGGCTGCGGAACAGTTTGCCCGATATACGCGAGCCGCGAGGTTCGTCGCCCAACTTGCTAACGGACAACAACAACAGCTACGTGCTGGCTACCAACAACAACGCCAACAACAACAACCACAACGACGACGACGGGAGCAGCAACAGCAATAGTAGCAGCAGCAGTAGCTCCTCGCCAGTGTTTAGTCGAGAGGGAGCCGGAGGCTCATCCACATCGGTGCCCAACGAGCTGCAGCAGCTGGGCAGACGACGGCGCACACAGCAGCAACAGCGTCGTCAGCAGCGTCGCCACGAGACGGGTTCGGGTGCGGGTGCGGGTGCTGGTGGTGGTGGTGGCGGTGGGCACAGTTCTAGCGAGGATCTGGATCAGTTCGATTGCAGCAGTTTCAGTTTGCCGCGCATGCGACGCAGCTGCAGCTGGAACGATCGCGTCGGCCTAGGAGCAACAGCAGGAGGAGCAGCAGGAGCGGGCTGTGGAGCTGGCTATCTGAATGCCAGCTATCAGAATCTGACACTACTCGATTACACGGATCCCAGCGAGAATTGTAAGCGCGGCATGGATAAGCGCAAGCAGCGCATTAGCTCGAGCGAGGATTGCGAGCAGTTCATCTGCAAGGACAACTTTCTGCTGGACGAGCTGAGTCAGATCTATGACAAGAATGCCTCCATACTCAATGACAAGACGGCCGAGCAGGAGCTGATGGAGGAGCGACCGGCGAGGGAAGTGTTCGTGGAGCAGAAGGAGGCAACGCCGCCGCCGTCGCCGCCCCAAGTGCAACATGTCCAGTTGACCATAAGAAAACCGCCAGCGCGTCAGAAGCGAATAAATTTGGATAAGGAATCTTTGCCGGCACCCATAATTGCCCCCTCGCAACCCGTTGCCACCGTCATCACTTTTAGCAGCTTTGGCAAGACATTCGATCAGGATCCCACCAATTTGCGCACCTCCTACGCCCAATCCTTGGAGCAGTGCAATTTCGAGTTGCCGCCAAAAAGTCAAAACTCACAACTCACCACAGCCAAATCCAACACACGTGCGCTGCCCAAGCGACGCTTTCAAAGCTCGACGGCAAAGCAGCGCAGTCTGGTGAGCAGCACTCCGAATCTGTCAGCTTTCGACAGCGGCAGCCAGGAAGCAGAGGATGACATCTATGTGAGCAGTGCGCACAATTCGATGCATCAGCTGCCGCTGGCAGCAACTCAAGCGAAGCCTTTGGGCATACTGCTGCCAGCTGGTTCGCGCAATTCGTTCAGCAAGGAGGTGAGTTTCTGTCCGGTGGTGAGCAAGTATTGCTGGCAGGAGCAGTCATCGGAGGAGCCACAGGAGGAGCAGGCGAGCAGCGACGAAGAGCAGCTAGATGACGATGACGATGACGATTCCGAGCAGCTGCTGTTGGATAGCAACGATGCCACTGTTATTTATAACACCAAAGAGAACGAGAACATAGCAGTGCGCTATAACGAAGAGCAGCAGCTAAGAGCAAAACAAGAAGAGCAACAGCCAAGAGCGCAAGAGCAAGAGCAACAGCCAAGAGAAACGCAAGAGCAACCGCAACAGCCAAGAGCGCAAGAGCAACAGCCACAACAACAGCAAAGAGCGCCAGAGAGCGTGATCGATGATAAGAGCATGGAGAGCGATGAGAACAACGAAAACATCGCCAGCATGGAAACGAAACAGCAGCAGACGACGAAAACATCGCCTCAGCCCGTTTCAGTTTCAAGCGTAGCTACTGCCGTCAGTGTTGAAACGCGCGTCGACTCGAGCTCATCAGCAACGCGCGCGATCGTTAAAACAATTACGCCAGTTACCGTTATAAGTCCACCACCTGCCACACGCCCCCTCAGCCTACATTTGCCCATATTGAGCGAACCGCCCACAAATCGCGCCCATCAAATACTCTACGCATCGCAGCAACTGCTGCAGCGTTACGACGACTCCCACGAGGACAACAAGTTTGACAAATTCGGCATTATGCCCAAATCACAGGCTGTAATGCCCACTTCCGTTTCCGCTTCCGCGTCTGTTTCCAGCAACAACAATGAATCGCCACTAAAGCAGCGCAGTGCGAACAAAACGGACGAGAAACATCCTAGCTCAAAAAGTTTTCTCTCTCGCTTTGCACACGGATTGCGCTTCTCCCTGCGACGCAAGAAGAAGCAGCAACAACAACAACAGCAGCAGCAACAACAACAGCAGCAACAACAACAGCAGCAGCAGCAGCAACAACAGCAGCCCAAACATGCAGCTAGCAATGGCACTGCACAGGATTTCATTTATATACCATTAAAGCCGCCGCGCAGCAGCAGCAGCAATGCTCACGATGAGAGCAACGCCTCCGAGGCGAGCACTGTTAGCGCTAACAGTCGGCAAATAACAGCAACAGCAGCATCAGCTGCTAATACAGAACCAGAACAGTCAAAAACATCGACACTGCAAAAGCTTGTGACTGGTAAGCCGCCGTTGCCAAAGCTGCCGCCACGACAAACGCATGCGCCTGCAAACAGTGTTGCCCATGTCGCCAGTCCCTCGAGTGCTGCCCATGCGGAGAGCAATGCTCTCTTTTTGGATGCCGAACGGCAGCAATATGCCGCATTTGCCGCACAGTTGACACACGGCCAGTTGCGCGAAATGTCTGAAAGGGATATGGCTCGGGACAGCGAATCGCCGTCGCGCGCCAGCGTCGCCCAAAAGACGCAAATGTTCAATCAGCTGGGCGGTCCGCAGACAGCCGGCTTTAAGCCGCGACCAGTCACCATGGTGACAGCCATTCCGGTGGCTGTTTCGCCCATCCACGACGACGATAGTGGTAAAATGGGTCTAATCGAAACCAATTTGGACACACACGAAACGGTTATATCGGGCAAAACACGCTCCCTGATGGACATCACCTGCAATCCAACCCAACAACAGCAACAACAACAACAGCAGCAGCAGCAACACAAACGTTATCTCGTCAAGCGACTGAATGTCACCAGTGCCACCTATAACATGGATAATGATGACGATGACGACGATGAGGATGATGTTGACAGTCGCAGGAGCCGAATCAAAACATCTTCGCAGGCGGGCGGCGTTCAAATTGCTTCCGTGCGAAGGCCGCACAAAAGCATGGAATTTCTGTTGGACAAGGAGAATCAAAAGAATGTTTTGGTGAGCAGCAAAATCTATGCATAACAATACACAATTCCATATATATATATGTATATGTATATTTAACACCTCCCTTTATCTGAACCGCCCTTGGGGCTCACACACCACACAATACTTACTACTTGCCCATAGTTTTTATGGCTTTTGTCTCGGGCAACGCCATCAACCCCCTCGCCCATTTAATGTCTTTTAGACGCTCCCTTATTGCTTAATACCCGTTGGCCAACAATGGGGAAAGGGTCTATTCGCTGTGAGACTCTGCCTGAATTGGCAACTAGTTTTGCTAAGTCTGGAAAAATAAAAAATTCGAATTTCATATCATTTTCACTTATTTTGTTAATTTAGTATTTAATAACTTAATGTGTTTAAGCTCGAACTAAAGCAGATTAGATAGACTGTATATTTTCTATAATCTTTACAAATGTTTCTATTTGTTTGCTTGCTATCTGGATATTTTTAGTAGTTTCCTTTTAACATAAAAATATAATCGATATGCAATTTTAAAGCAACTAAGCATTTCAAAAATTATAAAAATATCGATTCATGCAATGTTAAATTATTTTTAATGTATATCATATACATGTATATAGTTATAAAAGGGTATTTCAAGTTCGTTGCAGCTTTCCTATTCCAAGATTAACATAACTGTTATACTTTTTTTGCGATTCCATGTTATTTCGCCTCATTGTGTGAATTATGCATACGACGTGATTTCCATTCATTCACTCTCTCCCTCTCTCACCCTCCATCCACTTTCGCCTTCGCTCTCATTCTTACGTTTCCAATTGAGCGCAGCTTTGATCTTCCTTATGGCTGTTAATTGATTTCGTCATTTACAGCCGGCTCATGACACTTCCAGCCCCACCCCGTCCAGCCACGCCTGCTAGCTGTTAACTCAGTCGCGCGTAACAGATAAAAAGAAAACTGAAATTTGTGTCATTTATTTTTTCGGTTTTTTTTTCCACTCGTTTTCGCTTTGGGGGCGCTTCCTCTGCTTAATGCTCGTTGCATTTGCATTAACATTATTCGTATCCTTTTCACCCACAATTCGCTCGCTAATCGGCTTTGGCACATGGACGCGTTTTAAAACGCGCACTTAACGCCTTGAGTTGCTTCTCGGATTATGGATTATGATTTATTAGATATTTTCGTACTTTATATATATGTATATATGTGCGTATGTGTGTATGTGTGTGTATTTCCTTTATAGTCCCTAAGAGCTCAAATCGGTGTTCATGTTGTTTTTCTCGCAATTTTCTCCTCATTTCCTTGGCGCTCAACAAATTCAACCCAATTTAATATCATCTTCCAGCAGAGACAACGACCACTTGACCTTTACTATATACTGTATACTGTTTACATATGTATTGTATATAATATGTGTAATGACTGCTGGCCACGCCCTCTTTTTGGCTCGACCTTCATTAGACTTGGCCAACACAATTTGTTTGTCATTATGTTAATCAAGTCGTTGTTTGTTTTGGGTCTGCCTGACAATTTACGAAATGAAATTGTTGACCCAAAAGTTTTGCAGATTTATTTTTTGATTTACATCTTCTGGTGAGCTTTAAACATTGTTATTATTTTGTGTTCGTTGTGGGGCTTTTAATTTGGACGCCAGTGTAGTTATTATTTACTTGTGCATAATCTAATGGCAATTATAAAGCTCTTTAATTGATTTTTTATCAGACCAGCTATTTTTATTGCCCTCATCGATTCCAGAAATCCTTCATTCACTATGCCAATAATCTTTTGGTTTTTGCGTATTTAGTTTATAAATAGAATCAATTTTAAATAAATCGTTAGATGACTAAATATTGCTCACTAAACATGAAAGAATGCAGCAAGCAAATATCAAATATAAACAAGTCAACCGAATTTTCGAAATGTTTATTTTATAAATTTTCTAAAATACCTTCATGCATATAAATATATGTACAGATCTGTAGAAAGTGGAGGCTAAACAAAATTCTGTGCAAGAATCGGTTCTATTGAATAAAGAAAATTATATTAATTAATTGAAGTCATAAAATAAACTTGCATAAAATTGTCTTGGCAAAAACTAAAATTCAATGTTAAGTATTAAATAAATTAAGCAAATAATATTTCAATAAGTTGCCAATATATTTTTATTGATATGGCTACTGAAATATGTTTGGCATAATGTATTTGTTTTCTTTTTTTTAGGGCATCAAGGCTCATTTACACATTAAATTAATTTATTGGCATTGATAAAAAAAAAAAAAAAAAAAATGCCATAAAACTGCGCCCTTTTTGGCGTCTTTTCTTCTATTTCTTGTGCTCAACTCCCACGTTTGGCTGGAGCCAAAACTTTCGCCTTGATTTCCGCTAAAACTATACTACATATGTATATATATATGTATATGCTTATGTATTTAGTGCACACTTACATACATATGTATTTGTTTGCTCTTGCGGAAATTTTATTTTATATTTGTTGTTGTTGTTGTGCTCGTTGCGCTTGACAGTTGTCGTCATGTTGAATAATAATGAAAAATAATAATAACTATGAAAAGTACTTGCTGAAAAAGAAAGCAAAGCGTAGAAATGATGTTGCCGCCAGGCATACAAATTAAAAACTTAATTAAAACCAGGAATTATCATATCTGCTTCGTCTTGTAGTGTAAACAAACAAATCGCTTGATAAGAGAGACAGATGAAAAAAACCTCCTGCTTTTCTCTAATCCCCGACAGAAAAGCGTGCCAGTTTTATTTTCTTTTTCTTGTTTGTTTTCTTATTGTTTTTGTTTTTGTTTTTGATTTTGTTTTTAGTCACTGTGCTTGTTTATTACCTTTGTCAAACTGTGTATTTACTGCTTGTCCGAATGTATGTGTGTATAAGTGTGTACATATTTGGTTATCTTTGCGTGTATTTCCTTGTCGCCTGATAAAGCACAAAAAAATTTCAACGCTCTCCCCACAACTTGCCCCCTCCCGTTGGGCTTTCAATTGTCCGCTGCGCTTAGATTTCAGTTTCATCAAATATTTGCTGTTTACATTCTTGTAAATATTGAAGGCAAAGGCGAAGGTAAAAAAAACATCGCCCAAAGCGCTTGGCCGACTGCCAAACGAAGAGAGCGATAGAGAGTGAGATCAGTGGTCGGTCTCCGTCACAGCAAGTTTACAAGTGCTGTTATTACATTGTTGCCTGACTGTTAAACTAACGTGATCAGAGAGCAGAAAGCAGAGAGCAGTCTGTTAGTGATATATTATATAATCTGGTCAGAGCTGCTGTAACTTTAAAAAGTTGTGCTCTTAGCTGTGCTCTCTTTGCTTACGCAGCAGACGTGCGCTCTCTCTTTATCTCTATATCTCTCTCTTATGACTGGCAGCTGTTATGCGATCGGTCTCTTTGTGTCAATTTCTACCTGTTTCTTTTGGCCATATCTTTGGTAACATTTGTACAATCTTTTGTATTGCTTTTCCTTATTTGTTGCGCTTCAACGAGTGCACATCTGAAATATTGACAGCCATCTTGCTCTCACCTGCACACACCTAAAATGTCAAAGTGATCGCGACAAAAATAGCGAAAAATGCAACTTGCTTTCCTTCTTTTTTTTTCGTCATAGCTGCGGAAAAAGTCAAATTGAAATTACAGCAAGCAAAATAAAAAACCACTTTCTATTAAATAGTCGACAAGACGCAGAAATCGCGCAAATAATTTGATCAACTTTTTTTTTTTAAAAAAATTTTTTGAAGTAATTAAAATACTTAAATATTTAGTGCTTAGCTGAGCTCATGGCTTAAGCATTTTTATTGTCTCATAGACGTCGTAATTTATTCAAATTAAAACGGTATTTTGTCTGCCTTGAAATGTGCCCCGTTCGCTTTACACTCGCTTCCCACACAGTGTGCACAGTGTGCACAGAAAGTGCGCACAAAGCAGGAAATTTAATTAATTGAAGTTTATTTTTCGTACATCTCATTTGCGTTAAGAGTTTTGTTTGTGCTTAGTGCGCCACTTGCGCTTGCCACAATTTATTTTATTTTTCACACGCCTTTAATTTCGCTTCCATTGCGTTCGCAGCGTGTAATTTTCATTTTTGCGTAAACATTTGAAATTGAGAAACCCACAAAACTGACAAACAAAATTCTTCTCTTTTTTCATTTGTTTTGTTGTTTCGCCCTCAACTGTTAAACGCAAATCAATTTGACTGTTATTGTTATTTGTTGTCGCTGTTGTTGCTGCTGTTGTTGTTGTTGTTGTTGTAAAGGAAATATGTGGGCGCTTTTCATCAGTTTTTCCTGTGTGCGCAGTTTGCTGGGTGCAGCTGATCTTGAGAAAACAATTCGCTCGAAATTCATTGAAGCTAATTGATGAGTCTTGTATTTTTTTAATTATAACCAAGGCGCGAGCTGATTCAAACTTAACAAACTTCGAAATTAGAAAATATGTGGGAATCTTTTTCGTTATACATACATATTAAATGAGAACAATGTTAAAATATTAGAAACATTTTTCTTTTTTAGCATATATATATATATAATATGCTATCTGAGATTTTTGTTTAGTTGCTTAGATTTCTAATGATTTATTATGAATTCTATAAACAAGTTAGGGGTTTTACTTAGTCTATGGCTTTATCTAGTATTTATTTGGCAAACACATTAAACCAATGTACATATAAACATTCATTTCTATACTTTATGGCCAAGTTGTTGGTCAGCTTTATTTTTAATCTGTATTCTGTATTTGCTTTCGGCAATTCCATTCACACCTCAAATGGCGTTCATAGTTTGCCACAAAACATGCAAATTATAATGCCAATAAAAACCTATTAGTTATATACTTGGGCTCTTATTTTTTATATTTATATTTATTTTAGTTTTTTTTTCTTTTTTGTATTTTACGCTAAATGTCAGATTGTTTTACGAGTTGGCCAAAATGCGATCTACTTTTTGGGCACGTCAGCTGACACGACACCATAAACACTTTTGATTTAAGCACACTTTCTTCGCACAGAAATTGAGTCACCTTT